TTTGCGGGCGGACGCGCCCCGGAGCGGGCGCGGGGCTGCAGCAAGCCGCGAGCGGCCGTGGCTCTGCAGCCCGGGATCTGGGCCCTCCTGCGCCGGGGCACGCCTACCCCGACGGCTGGCAGCTCGCCAGGCGAGGCTGGGCCGGGCCTCGGGAACGAGCGGGCCTCTGCTCGGGTGGGGGGCCCTGGGGTCACCCCGAGCTCGGTCGGCGTGAACGGCGCACAGTCAGTCCGGCGGCGCTGCCCGGGGACCTCCTCCGCCGCCGGCCTTGGCTCCCTCCTGCCGCCCTGCCCACAGCACACACAGCCGCGCTTGTTCCACTTTCCTAAAGTAGGAGGGAGACTTTCCTGCCTTGCCGCGGGATCCTCCCCAGGCTCTAACCGGACTTAAAGCCAGAATTCCAGGGGAGAGTTTGCTAGGGCCGCGCTGGCTGCCCACGTGAATTTCGGGCAGTGCGGCGTAGAGTTTTTAGACTTTTGAAAGAGCAATTTTGAATTGGTGGAGTTCACCGGCGACAGAGTGCCCGTGACTGTCACACCTGAATGCCTGTGTCATCAAATTTATAAACTCTTTTTTTAATCCGGAGGCTTCTATTTTAAATGGGCCAGGTGGGTGGCAGTGAAACTCGGTTTACATCTGTCTTACTCCTAAACGCACTGTCTTTAAAAGCAAGGAGCAAACGGACTCTGGATTTATTTACCTTCTGCTCGGGTGGAGGCCGCTTGTGCGCATTTGCGGTGGGTGTGGTGCGTAATCTCTATTTGTAGTTGATTGTAGTATTGGCTTTTCCTCGGCACATTTCCTTCAAAGTTTAAAATTAAAAAAAAAAAAAATCCTCAGAAGCAGCGCTCCGGATTGAAAAATACTGTGTGTAGGTGTCAGGGCTGCGCTAGCGGGAAGCAAGTCTGAGTCCTTGTGAATTGAGACTGAGTGAAAGCGTGGGTAAGCGAGAGGTGGGACCCGTTGCCGGTGCTAATGACACTAAAGTGCAAATTCTGACATTTCTTGAAGAAGGGGCTGACTATACAGAAGAGGGATGTGGACTTGACACCTTCGCGAGCCGCCTGCCTCTGTGGTGTGCTAACCGAATAGTACACATTTGGAGCCATCTGGCAGCGTCTTCCTGTTGAGACAGAGGTCTGTTAAGATTTTAGCTCATCTTCCTCTTTATACCTTAGGAAAGTCAAACTCCATTTGCCGTGAACGCTCCCCAGGAAGGCCTTTCTCCCTTAGCAAATCTAATGTAAACCAAGTATAGGGGCTAGATCCCTTTCAAAGCTGTATCCAAGCTTTCCCTGCACACCCCAAAGGGCACCTTTCTTAACAACCTTTCTTAGGAACAAAATGGTCAGTCCTGAGGTAGTCAAGTTCTTTTCCCTTGAAGAATAATTCAAGTGTTACTTTTACAGGTAGACTAGCAGATATAAAATAGCCTAATGAAGCAAATAAGAACACGTGTGGGCCAAATTCTGAACTGGGTGGTGGGGAATATAGAACTGCAAGTTAAGGAGGGTTGATTCACAGACTACAGCCTCACCTAATTCCTCCTCTGTCAGTGGAGTGAAACTCTGACCTAAAGCCTGTGCACAAAGCAGATGTCGTCTGTGGCTCCAGTTTTCAAAGTAAAAACGGTGGCCCAAGGAAACCTTGTTAACCATAAAAATAAAAAGCTTACTCTTCCCTGAGGGCTGTTCTTTTTTGCTCTGGCCTACAGTTTAAGCTCCACGCATCAGTTGTGAAGAATTAAAAGACCCTTGAGAGAGTACTTGTTTCACATATTAGGGGCTCATAAAAAGAAGTAATTTTGTTTCTGGGCTTTGTGATTTTTTAAATAAGACTACAATAGTCTGTTCAATATCAGATGCTCAAGTCATGTTTTTGGTTGGTTTGCTTTGGCAACCATCTGGGGTTTTTCTTCCCATTTTTGAGCCTCCCGTGAGCTGTCTACCGTTTTGAGATTGGGCCTGAGTCCCCTTCTTCCTGGCATGAGGTGACAACTGCGGAGGCCCACAGCCCACTCTCCTTTCCTCTCTGCTGGGTGAGCTGCTTCCTTCTAATTGACAGTCATATTCTCTTATTTTCCCCTTGACCGTATTGTAGTGGTTTCAGCCTAAACATCTACCGGGCATTAACTGGTAACTTGTGAGGCTGAGGATTCTGGAACGTTGTCACTGGGCTGATAATTCTAGGAGACACACAGTGTAAATAGTGAGCTTAAAAATAACATCAGCTCTCCTAGTTAGAAGGGCTTTCTAGAAATGGTGTCATTGTAGGGACTCACCAACATGTTGCAAGGTAGCATGTTCAAAATTAAGGTAAATGCATTGCCTTGGGAGGAAAATGATAATTATATACATACAGTACAACTTCTTTTACTTAGAGTCAGCAGCATAACCCTGTAAAATCAGGTACTTGCCAGAAATATCAGAGGAAGAAAAATCTTAGGAACATCCATGATCCCGGCCATCCTCCTTAACGTTAACTGCATTTGGAGTCCTGTACTTCTGAGAGACGACTTTTGGCTTGTACTTATCTCTGTCTCTGAGAGCAGATTCCTCACGGTTTCCAAGGGGCTTGGCTTGTTGAGAATGAGATGCTTGAAATTTGCAGCTGCAGTTCTGCTTTCTGGTAGTCTGAGGCAGCAAAGTGGTGAGCAGGGATGATTTATTAGGAACTTGGTGTCATGATTATTTTTAGGGAAATTCCTAAAAATTTAGCATGTTCATCTTTCATGGGTGGCTTTAATAGAAAGCTCTTTTAATAGAGCTTTCTCTTTTGGCTTTTCTTTAGGGTACTTCTTAGGACTTGAATGCCATGGCTGAGGGTTTTTTTCTTGGTTCCCCCCAACTTCCTTTCTTTGGGGCCCAACAACCCCAGAGCCACTGCAGATGGTGGGCTGTTTTTCTTCCTCACTCACAAGCCTAACAAATCATGAGGCAATTTGTTCATAGTAGGAGTTGGAGCGAAAAGATCATGTGACAGTTGTTAAGGTTGGTCCAAAGTCTTCCACTTGCTGAGTTGTCCCCAACAACCATGCTGGTGGCAACATGGCCATTGCTGTAGAAAATGAGAGAATTTTAGTTTCTACACTTATCACTGTTCACTCTAACCCTGACCCACCACACACACACTAGGGGCAAGGAAAAATGTCATTGCCTAATACACTTTGGTCTCTTTCTGAAAAAACAGTTATTTTAACAATAACTCATTAATTCACAAATGTTGATCACCATTGGTGAAGAAAATAGGGAAAATGTGGTAAAGAAAATTAAGATCACCATAATATATTTCATAGACGGTACCAAGGTGTGTTTTGTTTTTGTTTGCTGGTTTATCCACTTCTAGACTTTTCAAAATGCGGGTATATAAAGATAAATGCTGACTTTTTTTTTTTTTAAAACTGTAATCTCTTTATGTCAATTATCTAATTTAAAAATATTGAATAATATGTTATAGACATTTTCAAATTAATATATAGTTACAAATAGGCCTGTAATTAATATTTTTTGTAGCCATCTTTCTGGCCAGATATTTAAACATTTATAGTATAAATCCACAGGAGTTTGATTTCTAGGTCACTGATTCTCTTAAAAATAACACCCAAGTACCTTTCAAAATTTACATTCCCTTCTACAGAGTTTGTCTCCCATAGTTGGTCAATAAAAATTAAGAGTTTTTTTTTTTTTAAATCAATCTGGTGGTTAGCAAATTTTTATTGTCAGTAAATCACCAACCACTTGTTGAGATCCTTTGCCCGTTGTGTGGATTGTGTTTTCTGTGTTAGTGGTTTGGAGCAATTTGGGGGGAGGGGAAGTAAACTTGCGGCTGCTGATATATACAGGAGGCTTTCTTTTCAGACTGTCTTGTAACGTTTTGAGGTCTTGAATTTCAGGGTAAGGGCTACCACTCATTTTCATGGTTTCTGAACGTTGTCATATTTAGAAAGGCATGTTAACTTATTTTTAAAATGCTGTATCCTAGACTTTTCTCAATGCTATTTTAATGAGTTTAAATTTCATTTGGTTTGAGGGAGGGTTCTAACTTTCCAAGTTATTGTGGTAAAAAAAATATATATTGACCAATTCATTTTTTTAAAAAGACATTAGGAATAATGAATAAAACAAAATAAGGTTCCTATTAAAAGTCGGGCAGCTTATTTACCTAGAACTCTCTAATGCACCTTGGTTAAGCAAGATTCTAATGCAGTTTCAATTTAGTTCTTCATATCAATATTTTAGGTTTTCTGTTATTTTATTATTACTGTAGTAGTATCACTGTTACTTTTATTTGATGTTAAAACCCTGTTTTGTCTCATTCACTGACTGACTTGTTTTTTCCAAGAAATAGTCATACAACACCTGCTGTGTGTTAGGCGTTCTGCTGTCTCCTGTGGTAGATTGTGAGAAGCAAGACTGAGGTCTCACGAGCCTTCAGTAGGAAGGATCAGTAGAGACTGTGACTCTGAGTGTGAAGGAAACCGAGGGAGGTGAGAGGCAGTGATGAGGCCATGTGCGGTGACTGGTCAGGGAATACACTCCAAGAAGATGGTGTTTGAGCTAGGAAGTACCGCATTAGCAGAAGGAACCAGATATCCAAGCAGCTGAGGAAACAGCAGGAGGGTAGTTGGAACAGCAAGTGGAATTATCTACTCCCCTCGCCCCCTAGAATTTCCTTTTTTTTTTTTTTTTTTTTTTTTTTTTGGGAAGGGTCTACAGGGAGTTCAGGGTCTCACTACTAGATTGGACTCATAGTGATCCACCTGTTTACAGCCTCCCAAGAGCTGGAATT